TGTACATTTCAAGATTCCTTCTTCGCTTTTCTCTTCACACATCCATATTTTCCAGCTTCTACTGAGAATTCGACGGCCCCAGAAACTCACATGGCATGGTTTCCTCCAGGGAAAAGTGCAGCATGCAGAAACTTCAAAGACATTGTCTAAGCAACCAGCTCTCAGACAGCCAATATCGTATGGATTCTTCGCCTACTTTCCTCTTAAGTGTTACTTCTACACTTGCAGCCATATACGGTAGGTTGATTTAACGCAGATAAAGAGGCATCAGGGTTTGGTTGTGTCTTATTTAGAGGCACAAACAAACAAACAAGGAATCGATGGCCAGGGATGCGAAATGTAGACAGCCGGCGACGACACTGCGGATAGCACGCGGGCAAGCCTGTCGCACAGGGCCAGCTCCAGACGAAAGAGTAATCATCTCATTGAGAGGGAACTGCGTGATGACCGCTAGCACGAATCGCCGCGCGCAAGTGACACGTCGCTCTTATCTCAATTTGCCCACCCGTGGCGTATGTGCAGTACGTGCTAGCATTTCTACCGTGACACACAAAATCTACTCTTTCGTAGAGACATTTTCCTGCTTTTCAAAAGAAAAGTGCATTAGGAAATGACATCACTTGGAAGAAAAATAACAACATCGTTCTAGGTGGGTCTGAATTCCAAGATATCAGCTTAAAGAAGTTATGATTCTTGTATAGATCCAACAGAAGTTAATTTTCCTTGAAGATACAGTACAGACCTATGTAATAGTATATTATTGCGAAACTACAATGTAATACAAGAATCCAGTGAAATACAAAATGTTCACCAGTTGCATTCGCAATATTCATATTAAAAATCAAGGCATTTGCGTATATTCCGAAATAACTTTTGAACTAAAGCAGCGAATCCCAACGTTTTGACGAACACTTTTAATCACGCGAAATAAAAAAAGTTTTGTAATTCTAAATTTGGTTCCTCTCCAAAATTTGTGTTGGTGAAAATCTGCCATGTGATGTGAGGCGAGGCGAGGCGAGGCGAGGCCGGAACGGTTGATAAGCAAGGGCAACGCCCACGAATCAGTCAATACAACGGCGCAGAACTAAAACTCGCCGTGACATGTATTGAATCGATTTCAAACTTCCTGAGATCAGGAGGTGACTGACGACCACTCGCGTGTATTCTCGCCGCGGCGGGCGCGCCGGACGGGGGCGAGGAGCCGTCCATAAAGAGCGCAGCGCCAGTGAGCGGGCGGTAATTGAGCACCGCATTACCATGATAATGCGCAGCGCCACGCGTCCAGGCGCCGACGGCGGCGCCCACCGGCACTCGCATGCGAGAGCTACGCCGCACCCTTCCCACGGCCGTCGTCCAGCGCATCCTTCTTATAATTTTACTGGCTCACACCCCTTTCACATTTATAAAACAAGGTTGCGGGAAAGGTCTTATTTTTTGCCGCCCACGATCAAAGGGCAAACTTCAATGCATACGCGCTCACCCCAACCTTCTCAACCCCGCTACATTTTTCACGTCTGGCGTGGTCTGTTCTTTCCTCAAGGATCCTCTGACCACAAGGACACGGCATTCTCTTTATCCTCGAACTATCCCTTTCCGTCACACAAGGGAGGCCCATGCTCGGCTTCGTCGCAAGAACGCCACCTTTGGCACGGGGGAAAAGGGCAACGGGCAGGCACGGGCCGCCGCCTCCGGCGCGCTTCACGCTCTTGGCGAGTGATCGGAGCAGCGCGAAGCGAAATACGCCGGCCGAAGCGGCGGGGCAGGCGCTTGGCAGGGAGCGGGGAGCCAGGGTTGGGGACGCGTGGGTTAGATGGGGCGACGAAGGAACGGGGGCGGGCCGAAAGCGCGAAGGCGGGGGCAGAGGAGTGAAGCTCCCAAGACTCCGCGAGAGGGAAAGGAAAGACTGAAAAACACGGGTGCGCGCAGGGAAACACTGGCGCGAGCGAACGAGGGACACCGAGGGGCGGAGACAGATGAGTCCGCGCTAAATGTCGCGGCGTCAGCGGCGGGGCATTTACGGGTTAGGCGACCGCGCTTTTTCAGGAGAACAAACTGCACCAATGTTTTTCAAACCACCACGAAAACCTTGCTTTTCTGCTTTCCTATTTAAACAGGAGTAGAGAATCGAAATCGCTCTTTGCTGACAACCACAAGTTCTACCGCGCTTTCATTAGAGCACGAGTATCAAAAATTATTTTGGGCTACGACCCTAGCAGTTCCTGGTGCTTTCTTCAACGGAGTTGCTTGAAACGTAGATGCCAATAGGAATCTTGTTAGACACTGCAGCTCGAGGAGGACGATAGGGCAGGGAGGGGCGTGGGCCGCGATCGGCGCTCATGTCCGGTACAACGCAACATGAACACGCGACGAGAGAGCGCGGGGCAGAGCGTGCATTAGCACCCTCGTTACACGGCCCCGCGCCCCGCCCGCGCCCCGCCCGGCCCCGCTCCGCGCTTCCAATAATTAAAAGTGCATGTTGCTTCGACGGGCGCCATTCGTTGCACTCCGCTGCGGCCGCCGGCGCCCCGCATCGCACATGAGCGCTCGCCGAGGCTGATTTGGCGGCCACTTCCAACTTCCAAATCAACTTCACCTTTCAACGTCCTTTCAACGACCTTTGGCTTTCTAACGTTGCTAAATTTCAAATTATTTTTTAATAACCAATAATACGATCCACGTATACTGAAATAAATTGAGCTCTTAGTGCTCATTTCAAATTTTTTCAACGAGCTGATATTCTTCACAAGTACCCAATATGTCATTCGTCGGAGCTCCAAAGTCTGTAATAACTAAAGGTTTTTTTTGTTTGTTTGTTTTTTTTTCTTTCACAAAAAAGTCTGGGAAAGGCTAAGGAAGAGAGAGAGAGAAAAAGAGAGAGAGAAAGAGAGAGAGGGGGGATGGCACATTCGTCAGCCGCACGGGAGAGCGGAAAGGCGGAAAGCGTGCACGGGAGGGCGGAAAGCGTGCGAGCGGGAGCGGGAGCGGGTGCTGGGCATGGGAGGGTAGGTGGGTGGAGAAGCGGGCTGACCGCCCTTTGTGCGCTGAAGCCTTCACAGGTCATGAATCCGCGCGCGCGCGGTGTGGGGGTGTTTTCGATCGGCCTTCGATCGGTCGGAGCCTGGCCAGAGGCTGCCCCTCACGACCTCTTCTCCGCTCGCACGAACACACTTCGATCAGCGACTGGTCGCCAAACCCTACCCACGTCCCGAGCACCGTCGGTCGCACCTTCGGTCCCACGAGCCCATTTGCATTCCCAGCCAATCGTGCCACTAATTCCGCGTCGCGGAAGTCAATCGCGATTTCATTTCATGACTCAATTCGTTCGAGTCAAGTAATTTCACACTGCTCAGGAAGGTTGTAACATCCTCTATTCAAGGTCGCACTCATCTAAGATACGAAGATTTGGAAAAACGAGATAATGTAAAATACATTTTAAAACGCGAAACACGTGGCTCCAAGAGAGTGAACGGTCGAACGGAATGGAGCAGTGGATCCACGAGGAACACTCCTTTCGACGGGTTAGAAAGGACGCATCATCTCCAAAGAGCCGAACCTCTCCTTGGGGAGGGAGTAATGAGGGCGCCGGGCTGACCTGCGAAATGAGGCTTCGCGGGCGGCGCGCAGGATTAACGCGTAATGAGAGGGCGGCGGGGGGCGACGGATGGCCAGACCGCCCCGCCCGCGTCGTTGCGGCCAGCTCCCGCCCTCGTACCCTTCCACGACCCCACTCTAAATCCGCTATAATTGGGCCACGTCACGTGCTCGCGAAGGTCGCCTCTTCCTCCTCCAGATTTGTCCCCATGGGGCGCGTCATTTTTCTTCGCGGGCGGGAATGTGCTTGCGCTTTCGCAAGAACAGGATATCGCGCACCCGTCTTATCACATCGTGACGCAGTTCCCTTTCGAATTTCCGAAGGGGATAACAGCCTTCTACTGAAGAGGCGAATCTCGATTTTAGTTTGTTTTCTAGTTTAAGGTATCAAAACGATTCTCCATCATGCTGCTTATTATTATGTTCAACAACTGCGTTTCTCCGATTTTAAAAGCCCTTTAAAAACCGACGAATCTAATCTTGAAGTACAAGTTGGGAAGTGAATCCTTTCTTTTCTCGGAGAAACGTTGCGCGGGCGGCGAGCTGCACAGCGCGGGGCGCATCGCCGTGCGGGGCACGTCCCGCGCTCCGCAACGAGAGGCGACGCCTGACAGAGGGCGCGGGCCCC